ACAAATACAACTGTCAAAAAAATGTTTTTCTTAAATGTACAATACTTGTTACGATCACTAATAACTAATAAAATCGTGATCGATAAAATTTGTTTTGTAATTATTTCTAAATTAAAAATGTCTTAATTTAATTTGTAATGTTTAATGTCTAAATAACTATATAACTCATAGTAATAAAATGTACGACCAATGAAAAAACATGAGCCCCCCGCCAGAACATTTTTCGTAATTCAACTTTGCTTTTACTATTTATTGTTGTTTTATAGTTGTACGGAAAACGAAAACCATTTCATTTCAAGACCTTGTTTCACGGTTCAGTCAACTTTCTCAGGTATACAAGATGGTACGTATCTAATGTTTATCATTAATTTGTCTGCAGGTGATTTTATTAGTATTTCGTTGTATTATACTCGTATGACATAACAATTAAGCCATCGTTTTTGTTTCATTTACATCCATCTTATTTAAATGTCTGGTTACAGCAGTATTTACCGGTCACGTGGATGTTTGCACCATACATGAAGGACAAATCGTACTATGGCATGAAGAATGAATAAGACATCCTATTGAAATCCACCAAGGTTCTGTACGCCGCAGCGAGATTGCAGAGCGATGACTTTGACAACCATCGTAGCGATGCATGTGCTCGCGATAACAACATCGGCAACAGCGGAAACGGCCGCACAAATGGCTACGGTGGCGGCAGCGACGATCCTTGTGATGCAGCGGACAGCGGGCCTGCGGGTAATCCCGAATGGCCCTGTCACGTATGTGTCCGCCGCACTTGCGTCTACAAGTCACAAGCCAAAAATGCCGCTAAGCCCTAAACGCATCTCATCGTTTGGTGTCCGAGGAGTGAGACCGGAAGTAAGTTCACAAGCGTTCGTCTGCCTCCTCCACTCCCCGTAGCCATTGTATATACACAAGTACTATCTACAGATATATATTATACTATAGAAATGTTTATTTTAAACACCTTTGATCATCAGGAACCGTCCACCATATAGATATTAAGTGTTTATAATATTTTTAAGATATTATAAACTTAATTTTAAGGTTTATGTTTAACTAATTTTAATATTTGTAACGAATATAATATTATCTGATACCTGCGCCGTATTAATGACGGTCGTCCACTTCGTCGAACAACGGCAGCAGGATATCATCGTTTGTTTTATTTTTTCACTCGTTTTTCTTTATCGGTGATTTGATGTGCCCAGGTACTCACAACATAAAATCATATATATGCAGATTTTTATTTCGTTATCCCGCTGCTGTCTTAACTCTAAAATATTACAAATAACCAGTTACTGACTTGTTATTACACAATACTCATACATTAACGATTTCATGAAATAATTAAATACTAAAAAATATGATTTCTGATAACGAAAAAAAAATTTGATTCTATATAGACGTATTGTAATAATTATTACATTTAAATAATATAAACTTTGAACTTCATTGAAATTTGAATCAATTAAACGAAAATCAACATTAGTAGTACTGCAGTGGGAAGTATTTATATTATAATACAGATTAATCGATTAGTGCATGTTTACAATACTGCATAATATGTTGTGTATTATGTCATCCATCCATCCGTATAATATATAATAAACATAATTTTATTGCTATCACTTCCCGTCAAAAGCGGTAATTATGGTGCAAATACATTATTTTTTGTTATTCTTATTAATTGTGTCGTTTTAACAATATCGCTATTTTTAATGTTTAAACTTTATATTATAGTTTATAAACTTTATACGAACAAGTTACAATATTATCGCGATTATTATATATTTAATATTGTTAAGAGTTAATCCGTCGTACGTACCTGTTTACCTGTTTACAAACACGGCGGAATCTAAGCATTATATTTAAGAAAAATAACTCGTTACGCCATCCAATTATGGAATGTCCAATTGTAATTGGTCGATATTATGACGATGTGCATATGAAACGATTAGCTAATAAGCTTATTAGAGCATCGTAGCTACATGTCTACATATAATAATTTAGTTGAGAACCTCGGTAGGTCAAAACTATGTCGAACATTGAATCGTAAAATTATAATATCGGTATTATGTCATCTTTGAGGACTGTGTGTGTAAACGAGTTGTTATAAAATTATAAATTGTAATATTATAATACAATTATAAGTAATTTTGTATATATTATAATTTATTATTTTAATTTAATTGCGTTTTTTTGGTGTTAATGTTTCATTAAACCACCCGATCGATCATTTGTCAAAAATTAGTTGTTTTTAATTATATAAATTGAAATATAATTAAAAACAAAAAAGTAGTTAGATTTTAACTATGTAATTATATTATTATTACTTAATAGATTTAAATATAATAAAATTATTCACTTTTTAATAATTATATTATTATTATTTTGTATTAGTATAGTATTTTATATTTGTATTAGGTATGGTATATATAAACAAAAGCAGGCTAATAAATATAATAGTAGTTATAATGAAGATCCGTCACACGAGCACCCTGATTTTAAAATTTAGTTTAAAAATGCATTATGATTCTGTAAAACATTTAGAATACACGATCATTTTTTTCCATTTTTTCTGGCTTTTAGACTTGGTAATTTTGTATCTCGTTTTTGGGGTTCTGGTGTTACATCACACATTCACTCCAATAATCCTTTAGTACTATAGAATTCTTAAAATCAATAACCTTACTTTTATCTTATCACAGTTTATCATGTTTATAATAATTATACACTACGAGTCTACGCCATTCAATAATTTCTTCGTTTCTAACTCTGGAATTAGCAAATTCATTTTTCGTTCTCGTGGTGCTAATTTGTGAGTGGACTTTTTTTAATTCTAAATTTTATTACCTTCTAACACTTAACTCTATTTCGCAAATTATTTTGTTTCGATTTTGACCATAAATTCGATTTCCAGAACTTACCTACCTATTGTTGCCTTTATTAATTACTCAATACAGACTTCATCTAAATTAAATTTAACTTAAATATTTTAACGTCTAAGTAATTGCTATTTATGCCATTGTTTATTCAGTAAGATAATAGTATCTAATATTAAAGTAATTTTTACTTATTATTATATAACTATATTTATATATAAGTATTGTTTTTATAAATTATAAATTATAAATTTTTATTTTTTTTTTTTGTTCATGGTTTTTAAAGTTTCATTAAATCAATTCCATGTCAAATACTAATGTAAGTTGTTTTTAACTATACAAATTAAAATGAAAACAAGTAATGAGATGTTAATTAAATAAATTATAATATAATTTTTAACCCAACAGACATAAGTAAATTTAATTATTATTCACTTTATATTAATAAATATCTATATTCTATGAGTTTCGTTAACCAAATAAGGCTAATAAGTAATAAGAATAGCTATCAATGCCCGTTGAAGCCGATCGAAAAATTCCATAGTGTAATAGAATTTTTGCGAATAAAATAAATGTGTTAAATTAAACTATATTCTTTTGAAAATATTTTTGTTTTTATTTTATTTATTATTTTAATTTAATTGCGTTTGTGAATTTTAATGTTTCATTAAAGTTCAAATCAATTATATATACCGAAAAAAAAAAATAATGTAAGTTTTTTTTCAATAAATTATATAAATCGAAGTATAATTAAAAACAAAAAAAGGAGTTAGATATTAATTGAATAAGTTATAATATAATTTACAAACCAATAGCCATAAGTTAATTTAAGTATAATTATTCACTTAATATTAGTAATTATTATAATATTACCTGTATGTTTATGTAAATAAAATAAGGATAATAAATAGGTTACAATAACAATAATTAAAACCATTGTCGTTAAAGCCGCTAAATATTCCCTGCATAATAATAATATAATATTTACAAATATTCTAAACATATATTATAAAATAATATCCTTGCCTAAATATTTTTATATTTATCATATTTTATTATTTTAAGTCGATTGCGTCCATGGTTTTCATTGTTTTATTACACCGATTTATTGTATAAATTATAAAAAAATAAATGTATTCAGTTTTTGACTACCTATATAAATTATAACATAATTATTAAAAATATAGATTTAAGTTAATTTAAGTACAATTATTCACTTTATATTAGGCATTTACCTGATAATAAATATTATATGTGTATTAATAAGTATGCGCTGATCACCATATGCGTTGAAGCCTTATAATAATAATAATATTTTTAAAAAAATGACATTATGCTGTGTTTTTCCACTGTTGATATTATTCAAAATAAATGGGTTTAAAAAATATCATTATTATAAGCGTATGTTTGTTTTCAATCAATTATTCATTATTGTCTGTCTTTAGTTCTCTATATTGCTCCCTTTTAAATAGGTAAACTTACATTACTGTACTTCAGTGAGGCATGTTCTTTAGCATGAGACCGTTTTTAGGGATCCATACACTTATTGCAAACGTCAAATAATTGCAGAGAAAATTCTTAAGTTTTGTTGCTTTTACCTAAACATACATTAACCTTCGCATGACTATAGTGGGTGCCTATTAGTCAGCTGTTTCGTCTGAACAATCCATCAGACCATCGGTAAACAACTAGCACAACGTAACTCATATCTGGTTTTTTTTGATTTGCCTACTCTGCTAGCGAATATCAATTTTAAGACATCAGCCCTTCAAAGGAGAAACTTCGCCGCTTATCGTACCCTTCTCTGGTGCCACTAATAATGATTATAAGTTATTAATCTTCATAGATCTCCTGTATGCCGTTAGATGAGTTTCACCGAGCGAGGACCTCGATTTAAACTTTTCAGAAATGCTGAAATAAATAAACAATTATGTCAACTTAACAAAACTTGTTATTACTCATATCACATATATTTCTACTTAGTTATGGTTTCTGGTTTAAAATCCAGTATTCTGTGTTAATAAATAAATAAATATGTATATGTGAGGTGTCGCGGTTGTTGGTACAAAAATACATCTTTGACGGAGGGCAGACGCATTGTGCAAGATGAATCACAATACTGTGGTAAGTAGTGGAATATATAACAGTATATAGTACCTATTATTTTATGGACGATTGTAAACTCCGCCAGAATATCGGTTAAGATAAAAAGGTAATAATAGGTCTATGGTAAACTCCGCCAGCTTTTTTTTCTTACCTGTAATGGGTATATGTAAACTCCGCCAGTTTTTTTTTTTACCTGGTCAGTGCGACAGTACTCACATTGCCACGTGCCTTCTCACATTAAATACGTTTACATCTATTGTGATGTATATGTCAAAATTGATAAAATATTGTCAAGGTTAGATCGATTCAAATTATTAATAATTTTATCTTCATATTACCTGAAATCAGGATTTCCAATGATGATATCGGCAGTAGATAAGGTATACGTAAAGACGTATACTTTGACGAACATAATCATTCGTAGTCTGCGTGTTTCCGTACTTCTGATATTTGTATATGTCCGAACGAAATATGTCGCAAGAAAATAATAGTATAAAATTAATTACTGGCTAACGAGGCAATTTGTTGGTTGTATTTAAAAATTATAAGTATAATATAAATATAAAATACGCGTCTGGTGAAATAAAATGGAGGTGCAATAACAAAAATTGTAATGCATTTATAAAAACTGTTGGAGCTGAGCAGCATAATATTGCTTTAACACATTTTGCAAATGATACTCACATTACTTTATGCCTTTCAATTTCTATCCAAACACTAGAAAGACAAGAAATAAGTAGTTGTGTAAAGAGGAAAGCGGTAGAAGATATTCGTGATAAACCGGGTAAATACATTTCAAAATTAATTAGTAATAAAATAGGTACACGTGTCGTGTGCTATCAGAGATTGCATTCGACACATGTATATATAGTCATTTTTTGTAGATGGCATACACCTCTTATAGCTAAAATATTAAATACTGATATATTTTTTCTTTTAGCTAAAATATTAAACATGGGATTAGAATGTTGTAGTAGTACAAATGTACAATAAAAAACTCTACAAATTTAACTTCAAATGACATGTCGTTGGTAAAGAGAAACATGTATAATGCACGTAGAAAATTAATGCCACCAGTTCCAACTTCGCGATCTGAAGTTATTTCTTCGCTTATTCAGATGGCACCAAAAACGATCAGAGATGAAAGTTTTTTAATTTTATCTGATTTCGATAGTGAGATTATTATATATAGTTGTATTACAAATCTAAAATATTTATGTATCTCAGAAACAATTTATGTGGATGGAACATTTGATTATTGTGTTAAATTTTTTTATCAATTATTTACTTTACATGGATATTTTAATGGACATTATAATATACCACTTGTCTTCTGTATTTTAAAAGATAAAAAACAAGAGACTTACATTAATTGTTTCAAATCAATCTGTGAAAAATGTTTAGAGTTAAATTTAGTTTTTAGTCCAACAGAAATAGTTGTCGATTTTGAATTAGCAATTCATAATGCATGCGAAAAAATATGGCCTGATGTTAATCTAGTAGGATGTAGATTTCATCTCAGCCAATCATGGTGGAGGGCAATTCAAAACTTTGGACTGAGTGTTGAATATAAAAGTGAATCAGAAATAAGTAAGTTTCTTCATTTATGTTTCGGATTATTATTTTTATCTCCGGAAAAAGTTCCCGATGTATTTGCATTTACTTTAGAAGCAATCATGCCATCCGACTCTAGAGTAACTAAGTTCTCAGATTACCTTGTTGACAATTATATAAGTAATGAAGCAGCATTTCCTCCTCATTTGTGGGCTTATTAAAATGCAAATTTAAATCGAACAACAAATGTCTGTGAATCCTTTCATAGTCATCTGAGAAATTCATTTTATAAAAGTCATCCGAATGTTCACATTTTTAGTAAAGTTCTTATCGAATTTCAAACCCAAACTTATATTAAACTAAATGGCATATCTCAAGTAAATCAGCTAAAAAATTCGAAATCAAAAAAAAAAATGACAGTATTACAGGATGCTATGAATAGGTATACTAATAAAGAAATACAAGACTTAGAATATTTGCAAATTGTATCACATCATTATAGTTTTACATAATAGTTTTTCATACAACACAATATTTATAACGATTATTTATTATTTTTTATTATATTTTATTATTATGTGGACAATTATTAATTATTATTATGAAAAATATGATTTTGGATTATTTATTATGATTTTTTATACTATGATTTAAATATTGATATGATATGATATGATATTATATTATAATTTTATTCTACTATTTGATTTTCTTCACTGGCGGAGTTTACATAAACTCAATTTTACCTGATGTTTTTCAGTGGCGGAGTTTACATGAACCCAATTTTACCTGTTTTTTTTTTTCTGGCGGAGTTTACAGTAAAAAAAGGTACTTGTGGCGGAGTTTACGTGCGCCCTATTTTATATAGCAAAATAGCCAGCTATCAATGACGCACCATTATATTTTACATGCATTTTATTTTTTGCATTTTTAATGGTTTACATTATTATTATAAATAAATAATACATTCAGATCACATTGATGAAACAGTGTCGAGGGTTGACTCACGATCAAAAATGGAAGTTTTTTTCCATCTTTGATCGTTAAAATTTAATTGTATTTTCAAATTAATTTGATACTCATCAAGTCCAGTACCGGCGTACACTAATATTGATATTGATTTTATGATATCACTATTATAATATTATAGAATTTACTTTAGCTTGCAAATATATTATATTACCTGCCTAACATTTCTATTTCAATCATAATATTAACAGAACCTGGTAAAGCTTAAATATAATTGTAATTAAATTATTTTCTTTTTTCTTTGAAAACGTTGTTATAATTATTTAAAAACTATTATGTTTAGAAAAATGTACATAATATATTACATGCGTATTTAAAAAAAAAAATATGAACAGAATCACTAAAAAATGTAATACTTTTTTTTTTTGAACTTAAGACCGGCGACAAAGGCCATTAGCTGTTGTAGGGGTTATTAACAGTAGTAGGGGTAAGGTTGGTACGATAAGTTGTTTTTATGATTGTTACGGTTGTTATGGTAGGTAGCAAACACGTGTATATGTGGCAAGGTTTTTAACTACTATGAACCTGGGTGGTCACCCATCCGGGAGCTAGTAGCTGTGGCCGTTATTTACTCCTAGTCGCATTCTACGACTTGTTACAGCCAATGCGCTAAGCCAAGCCACAAAAATGTAATACTGTAGAGTATTAATTAATGTATAAATACATTGAAAATAGATCTAACCAATTACAATTACTATAATTCGTGTAATTAAAAGTTTAATCAAATCCAAATGTGAATACAACAAATAACAGCTAGTTACAGAATAAGTTAACAAAATTGAATATCCAGAGCTATATTTAAGATATTATAATAGGTATAGGTTGAATATTATCCAATTAATTATATAACGAAAATTTAATAAGCCTGCAATAGTCAAGATCCTTTTGAGTTGGGAGACATTTTTTTTTGAGACACAAAAAAGTAAACTTGGTCCATACAAAATTTGTTAAAAAAAAAATCAGTTTCACGACCTTGCCAGGATTCGAACCTGGAATCTTCTGATCCGTAGTCAGACGCGTTATCCGTTGCGCCACAAGGCCAGATGACGAAAATTATAACGTTGGTTGTATATAACTTGTTTTACCTACTTTCTAACACGTAGACACATAATACCATATTATTATCAAACCTTAACAGTTATCACTCACCTGAATGTGATAATAATGACTAATGATTTTTTGATTGCGTATGCAAACATTGCAAACATTAATAATTTACACGTATACGTACATAAGTACCTAGGTATGAACATTATTATTTAAGAACTTAAGGTACAGGTAGGAAGGTACCAACAGCTGAAGGTTGTAGCCCATTCGGCTACCGTTTTAAAAAAAGAGCAATTCTCAAACGTATCCCATTTTTGACAACACAAATTCCTTCTCATTTCATACAGACTTGGGATTGCCCCCAAAATAGGTGTGGTTAAAATACTTATCAATTTGAGGGGAGAGTGCACAAGACGAAGGAGCTCCTCTACTATTATTTTTTACAAATATTTTGTGGATACAAAAAATTAAAATAAACAAATAATTGTTTTTTTTTAGTCTTGGACTTGAGGTCGACACTAATGCCCGAAATAATAAGCTGTTCTAACATTTGGGAAACTTTTTTCAACGTAGCTGTTTGGGTTGCATCGGTACCAGCAGAAATCTACCATTTGTGGGTACCTATTTCAATGAGCACGGGGATTACGTTATCTTCGTGAAGGTACATACGGTTTTGAAAAATGGTTAAGGTTTACCTATATTTTAATATACATAGGTACCTACTACCTAAGTATCTACTCTGCTGACTTATGATTCCGTCGGCTACGGTAAATAGTTTTTACTAGGAATTTAATTTTAAGGGCAAATGTAAATTCCTACACAACACCTAGAATAAAATACATCGATTTGTTCTTACATTTTAGAGAATATGATGTGAGTTTAAATTAATTAAATCATTATTTAAATTATTATATTTTATAGGCATTATGTTAAAATATAGGAAAGCATCAGTTTAATTATCCAATGTCTTAAAAAAAATTTCATAATACATTTCATAAAATATAAATAATTAAAGAAAAATGTAAAATTATTTATTAAATGTAGTTAGATGGGAGCAAATGCTTTATATTTTTAAATATCAATAATTTTCCTAAATAAATAATAATTGGAAAAAAAAATATTTTATTTTTAAATGGTCTATTTCAGAAAAGTAAATATTTAACATAAGTAATTGTATTGATACACTTTGATTGTAGAATAATCTAAAATGTTTATTTATAAAATATTTTATCTCAGGGTATTTTGTGTTAAGTACCAACTATATGTGGCTCTTACTGTGTGTGTATGTATATTTATTTAAAAAAGTTTGGATGTTCTAATAATTTTAAAAATATAAGAGATAATGGTGATAAAAATGTAGTGTATGATTTTTGTAGATATTAACATGCCATTTTTTTCTACCTTGTAGGAATCATTTGTAGGAGCTAACGTATGTTATTTTTTTACCTATTACTCAAGTGTAGAAACTTATTATTCCAAAATTGTATCATTCTAATAGCCAAAATTTATTTTATTTTTTCTAATCGACAGTTCTTTCAACACTGATTAGGATTCTCATTCCTTACATAAAGGCTATTTTTGTTTCAGTTTCAACTCAAATTCATACAAAACTGAACAGGTACAGTTAAACAGTTAGTAGGAATTGTAGACTGTAGTTACAAATATAATAATAATTATTACATATAATTTATAGTATATAGTATATACCATAGGTTCTACTGAGTTAATACCTTTGTGGCAATCAAAACTATTACATTTGTTTCTTTATAATTTAATAAATACTCAGTATTGATTTTTCAAATACAGTTCTTTCAAATTAATTTATTTTTCTGATACTATTGAATTAAAAAACGTCCATGTCACTGAAAACAGTATAAACAAATCTAATTTTCTGAACAAAACCAAGTTCCCAAGTAACTTGCATGATATGCTACCTATGCCTATCACAAATAAATATTTTAAAAAAATAATTGAAATCTTTTACATAGGTAGTTTAAGTTTTGAAGTTAAACAACAAAAATATTTACAAAGTTAATATGAATTACGAACAAATAAGTAAACAACAATATCTTATCACAGCCTATGCCTATCATGACCTAAACTACAGTATATGTGTAATGTGTATACATAATATATGTGTGTGTCACACAGTGTCGTCCTGGCACACCGCGGGCCCAAGGACTAATGTTTTATCATGAAATACAAAGGCCCTTAAAAGAATGTTCATGACATTTTGTTGAAACAATTATTCTTTACCTCGGACTACTGAAAGTTTTCAGGACGGCCATGGGCCCACTAACGAAAAATTCCGCATTTCCGCCTAAAAATTATGTGCGGCTAAATCTTTTGATAAACACTTCACTGGGCCCCTATACTCCCAGCTGTATAGCGGTCATGGCCAAGCCGTCATAGGTATCATAGAACCACGATTAAAGATGGGTTAGTAGATAGTACTACTATCTTTAATCGTGCATAGAACCAATGCACTGCGACGTTATCATTGGTTTGCATTTCTTACCCACGACGATAACCCACATGATATTATCACACCAAGCGGAATAAACCTAATAAAAAAAATTACACAAGGGTGGTGCAGAAAGTGCGCACCGAGTGCACACGAGTGTTGCACTATATTACTATAATCAAATCACACTGCACTCTACACTGCACCAGTTCCCAGATTATTGGTCAAAACGAATACGTTTTTGCACCGAGTGCACACTGAGTGCATAAAGTGCGTCAAATCGAAAACGCCATTTGTTAGCGATCGAAATAATAATAATATCTTCATACAATCGAAAATCCGCTATCGATAGTATGAAAACATAACCTAAAAATTTCATTTTTAAAAAAAAAACGATGTTAACGGAATTCACATTTCGTTGTTCCTTTATGTCCTTTCGCAGCTCAGCGTCTAGTTAGTTTGCTACCTGATGCTGTGCGGTTCATATGTTCTTCGTTGTACACGCGTCCGGTGCTTGCGAATGGGCCTATGTATTGTTAGACTGTAATTTGTATTATTAATATTTATTTTTTGATATTATGTTTGAGTAGAACAATAAATCGTGTGAAATTATTAGAATTTCTAGTGTTGGTGTTTTTTTTTTTGATGAATAAGTTTAAAATAAGTTTCAACTAATTTATTTGAAAATCGGCGTTTATAATAAATACATAAACATTGTTATTATTACGCACATAGATTTTTTTTTAAATGTTCGTTTTTAAATTTATTCTTTTACGATTCTTAATCAAAATTATTACAAGTACCTAGATATCTAATGGAGTATTGTTTTAGGTTGTAACATAATAAATCATTATAAATGAATACTCCATTTGTTGACGGATGGAATATTGTTCAAACATTAGGCGATGGATCATTTGGCGAGTATGTTTACAAAAAATATTTTTATTATACACATAACAAATTATATTAACATTTAACTATTATCCTGGATTATTATTCTTAGTAGTTAATTTTAAGTCAGAAACTAATAATAATTTGAATTTTGATTTATATACATTAACATTTTCAAAAAAAACATCATCCTTAATAAATTACAGTAGGTAGGTAAAAAAAAATATTTAAGGCTAACATTAGAATAAAAGAAAAAGATTCTTTTAAACAATATGGCCATTATTATTTTAGTACCAATTCTTTCAAATGTCAAAAGTCAGAATTTGATTAATTTAATTTATAAGAAAAAAAATGAGAGTGGTCGATGAGGATATTTAGCGGTGTATACAAGGAAATAAATTCAATCCATTAATTAATTCTTGTTTTTTTATATGTATCTCATCCATTTAAATTTTAATGCTTATGAATTCTTAATAGAACTAAAGCTTGGGTCCTTCAATTACGTTTATTAAGCTCTGCTTACATACAAACATATTTATATGAAGTGTTAATTTCATTTCAACTTGTGTCTACCTATGAGTCTAATTTTTTCATAATTATTTTCAGAGTAAAACTTTTATTAAATCAAAATAATCATGGCTATGTAGCCATGAAAACGATTGATTTACAAAACTATTCTGATGCATTGGCTACTGTACAAAAAGAAGCAGCTATACATAGCCGATTGAGTCATTCAAGTATAATAAAATATTATGGACAGCGTCATACTAAAGATACTTATTATATATTCTTAGAATATGCATCTGGAGGTGAACTATTTGATCGAATTGGTAAGCTCATATGAAATAATTATATGTATAATGCAAATTCTATAGAGACAATTGTACATTGAAAATACGTTATAATATTAGTTATATATTACAGTCAATACATACTGGTACATTTTATTTCACTTGTAAAATAATTGTTAATTTTTTTAGAGAGATTCATCTCTATAGAATTTATAAGATTTCATTATTTTATTGTACCTAATAACTAATAACTTCATTGTTAGTACACTAATAAAAAAAATATTTTTTGAAAATTAGAACCTGATGTTGGAATGCCGGTGTCTGATGCTAGAAAGTTTTTCAAAGAGTTGATTTCTGGAGTTGTAAGTTTTCAAACAAAAAAACATTTTGTTTGTTTTATGTATTTATATTTGCAAATGACTCATACCATTATTTTGTTAGGAATATTTACACAATAATGGTGTTGCGCATAGAGATTTGAAACCGGAAAATTTATTATTGGACGAAAATGGAAATTTAAAAATAAGCGATTTTGGATTAGCCACTTTGTTTTTATGTGGTGGAAAAGTAAGTAATATTTATGTATATTTAATTTTTTGCAAAAAACAAGAATCGTTTAGTAAATTTATTCTTGTAATAAAAAATATATCCATCTATTCTCTATTTCTTTACCCTAACACAATCCCTATGTATAGATGAGCAAAATATGTCTTGAATTATAAAAATTGATCAAATTAATAAAAGATAATGTTTTATTCACAAAAAAATTTTTAATAGTATCTTAAAATGATTATATCAGATACCTAATAAAAGTTACACATATAAATAAACTGTCCTATTCTTGAATTTTATAGTATATTTAAAGAAAACATTATTTTTCTAGGCAAGATCCATAGTATGAACTATATTATGCAGTTGAAAAGACAAATAACAAATTAAAGAGTGTTGATCAATTTTTAATTATTTGAAAAAAATTCGTGAATGTTACACTGAGATGTGTTATCTCTGTCTTACAAACATACTAAATAGCAAATTAAATATTTGAAGTATTCATTTGTATTCTTAATTTCAACATTATTGTGAGTTATTGGCTTATTGAACAATTTTAAATTGTAAGATGATATCTAAGGCATTTTTTAGGCTTTTATTGATCCTTAACTTTTTTTTTACTTAAAATTAACCTTTACACCTAACTATGTAAAATTTAAGATTTGAAAAACTCGCTTTAAAATTTAAATATCATGAACACATAGGTTAAGCCCTAGATAATTTTTTTATCCTTAAATTTGACAATATTTCAATTCAACCTTATATAAATCTAACAATAATATGGATTCTGCTGAACACAATTTTATTATGTTTTAACGTTTGTAAGACAAAGACAACAGATGTAGGCAACTGGTGTATTATCTTCTTTAAACAATAAATTATACTTTTATTTTACCCAATTAGACAAAGTAAAATTAGTATCAACTAACACAGAAAATTGTAAATTTGTTTACTTTTTATTAAATGAAAAAATATATTGCTTAGTAAGTAGTTTTATTAAATTTAAATCCAACCCTAGACATAATTATCTAATATTTTACATTAATTTAAATAGCGGCGTAAATTGGATAAGTATTGTGGCACTCGTCCGTATTTAGCTCCAGAAGTTCGTTCACTTTTACCTTATCAAGCAGAACCTTCTGATATTTGGTCATGCGGTATTATACTTGTGTCAATGCTCACTGGAGGTAATTTATTATTTTCAATTAAATCACGTGTATTGCTTACATCATGCATTTTAATGTTATTATATTATATTATATTATTAAGAAGTTATTATATTATACTGATATGTGGTAACTAATGTGTCAGTGTTGATCTCTTTGGTATTCTAGCTGTAGGTTAAATTTTTTAGAAACATCCTAAAGCTTTAGTACCGAAGTTATTGGCATTTGATACTGCATCAATCATTTTCAGTATATTGTAACTTTAATTAGTAAATTAATTTTATATATGTACCTGTATAATTGTTTTCTTATAAATATCTTAATTAAATTTAAGCAACCATCAATATTAAAATTTGTTTGTTTAATTTGTATTTAGAGTGGTCTAAAAGCAAAATTAATATATGATAATAAACCCCTTTATGTTCAGGTCATAATGTTTTGTATTTATTAAAAAATGAAATGTTATTAGGTTTTATGTTATTTTGTAGATTGTTGTTAATTATTTAAGCTACACATAATAGAAAATACTTATAAAACTATATACTTAACAACAGCCACCAAGAGAATATTACTATGTCCTGTATACATACTAACTGTAATGACCAGTCCAAGGTGCCATTCCCCCCCTCCCCCTTACTTTGTCTGCGACTGAATAGCCGGTATAAAGTATATTGTCTAACATTAACAAATCGCTGTCAATTAATCTCGGATGCGCGGAATCAGACATGTTTGGCCCGGGACATGGTAATGTTCTCTCGTAGGTAGAGTATAAATGGTTACTGGAGTCTGGAATTAAGTTAATTGCAGAGAAATTGCTTGAAAAAATATTACATTGGTATATTCAATTATTGAAATTATTTAAACAAAAAATTATAGTTTATAAAAAATGTAACATAAACATTTTTTGTGTTTGTTTAGAGTTACCTTGGGATACGCCATCCGATAATGATGATGATTATAAATTGTGGAAAACTACTGACTATGCTAATCATTCACCATGGAATAAATTAGATACTTTAGCCTTGTCTCTTGTGAGGAAGATATTAACACCAAGTCCGTCTAAAAGATATGATATACCGAAAATTCGGTCTCATCGTTGGTTCAAAAATTCAGAAACTCATGGTATATTTTTACTGAATCAATCTAATTATTATTAAGATGCCACACTGGCATTTGTTGTCTCATGGCTAATTTTGCATTCATAATAATACATTTTACTCTGTAATTTCTATAATTAAAGTGAATTTACCTATAATATACCTATGTTTATTTAGATAATAAAAAAGTTAGAATTTCTGTTCGGTCTGACAGAGATTTGGATGATGGTCGTCAATGTTGTTCTCAACCAACTTCTGCAGCAATTTCATTTGATACATCCTTGTCACATAGTGAATCTGAAATACATTCATTTTCCCAGCCGACGCAGGTGGACGATCTGCTGCTGTCTTCACAACTTCTGACATCACAACCCATCTCCACACCTAATGTAATTTAAAATTATTTGTATTATATTATCAGGTATACTAAACTGCCAAATTTTTAGAACTCTTTGCAGAACTTAGTCAAAAGAATGACAAGATTTCTAGTCGATTTACCACATGATGCAGCATTAACCAATTTAGCACTGTGTCTGGGTGAAATGGGATATATATGGAAAGTCAACAAGCCTAGTTTGGTAATTTATTACTGTTATAGTTAGTTAATTATTAGTTAACACTTCAACAACAAATAATTTAAGCTATATACAGAAATAAATAATTAGTGATGAGGACACATAAAAAAAAAGATTATTGACAAAAACAAACATTTTATTTCATTATTTGCACATTATATGTATGGTATTGTATGGTATGGTTTGCTGCAGTCCACAAGAGGTTGAATAGGAGAAGGGCGGTAAAAGAAATATTTTTCATGTGTGTACAGTTTTAATATATATTGAAGAAAGATGGTATATTGATGGTCATGTGCGTCATAATTTAACAAATTTTGAGCTGTTGAGCAGGGAGAAAAAATAAAGTTGTGATCATATATTCATAACCTAATGAACTAGGAGTACAGTTTTGTGTAATATTATGAACTATAATATTGCTATTTGCTAATAAGAGAATAATAATGAAGACGATATTTTGTTTCAATAAACGTATGTGAAATAAAATAGACAGATACCACGTTTGTTCAGGGCAGCGGTTCCCAACCTTTTTCATTCTACGCCCTCCTTATAAAATTACTAAAATCTCATCCCCCTTAAATTAGAGTTTAGGTGTATTTTTTTTTTTTGAGCCCTACAAATAAAACATACAAATTAACTATTAAATATTGAATATAAAAACAAAAATATTAACAAAAAGTATAAATAATATCTCAGTCTATCAACTTCATCGACTCTACCGTTATACCTAATATATAATTGTTATCGATGCCCAACAATCTGTAAACTGATATAGTGATTTCAATTTTACACATTGTAAAATCACATAATTATTTTCGTAATTCCATCATCACTATATTCCCCCCTGGTTGGGAACCACTGGCTTAGGGAATTTTCGGTATAGTGGTCCTCTTAGAGATAGAAGTTTGTGTTTGCTCACGGAGGTATGGAGGTTGACAGGATTAGAATAGACATTGGCTTTAAATCATTATTAATATTAAACAGCTTTCACCTCAGTCCATATCAAGGGTGTAGTTAGAAAATAGAGATGCAAATGATCAGGTCATGAGAGGTGCACAGGATAAAAAAATGTGAATTATAAATAGTTGGTAAAGTTAAACATACCAAACATACCATAGTATTATTTTATAAGTTTCTAGACAAAATATCACATTAATCAAAATTAATAATTAAAGAAGCACACAACTTAAAAATATTTTCTTCAAATAATTATTAAATATATTCAATTATTGTAAATGAAACTATAAAAACAATTTGGTCAAAATTCAATGGGAAAAAAATATATTATCTAAGAAGATATTAGAGTTCATGATGGTTGGAGGAGGTCGTTAGCTCGGACTCGATACAACTGCCTATCTTATACTCGTTTAATTTGCTCACTTTACATAATGATTTACCTATCTCAGTTTTTTTATTTTTGACGTTTGATTTATGTCTGACATTTGGTGCTGAGAGCAATAGAATAGTATCAGAATTTCATTAAAACGTTTACTTTTTTTGAAATATAAAAGTACTATACTCTGCATCACGAGAGAAGTAACATGTGTCCCGACCAAATCGCGTTCTAATTCACGCATTCCCGGGTATTTAAGAGACAAAGTGGGGATAGCGGAGCTTTATAACGTTCACTGCCATCAGTCTGCATGCGCCAAATGAGTACTTTCTCTTGTGATGTGGAGTGTAAAAAAGTAATGGCCACGTGATAACTGATTAATATTTCAAGAAAACTAAACAGTTTCACAAATTCTGGTCCCACTAACATTTTCAGTGTACACAAAATCACAAACACTACATTCATACAAAAAAAATTCAAAAATATACTTAAAGGGAGTAAATTAATGTATGAAGCAACCAACTCTTACATGTATAAACTGTAAGATAGGCAATTATGGCAAGCCCGGCTCTATGACGCCACGTGTCCTTATTTAATTCCGCATAACTCTTTGATTAATGTGTGTAGAAACTTAAACCTATACCATTTTGCATGTGTTTTGTGCTACTTCAACATATTGCATAATCATAAATATTGTACCATGTTGCAGATTACAATTACTACTACAGATGAGCGTTTAGTGTTTAAATCGAATGTGATTCCAATGAATGATAAAACTCTGATTGACTTCAGACTTTCGAGAGGCTGTGGTTTAGAATTTAAGCGAAATTTTGTTTCTATTAAAAATGCAATGTCTTCAACGATTGAAGGTATTGGTTGTATTGTGAGTACATATAAGACTGACTTAAAATAGATTGTATAAAAATAACTTTGCTTATTTTATTTCCTAATTCAGAAAAACTAATGTACCTATAATAAGCATATCAATCAAAGTTATAAATAAGATACAATTATATATGTTTTATGTATTTTATTAATTACATACAGGTAGCATAGATTCATTGAACATTTACTCAACTTTACTTTTACAGTTGTGTAACAACATATTGATTCCTATTTTTTTTATATTCTCAATCATAAGTCTATGAAAATGAATTATTTTTATCAAATGTATTTGTATTTGCATTAAATTTGTTCAAATTTTTTTAAAGTGTGTTGTTTGTTTTGTTTTAATCTGGTGTTATTGTTGTTACATATATTAATAAAACCATATACACTCAGCTATAGTCTGTTCAGTGCTATACTGCTATAACTGGTAACTGGTAACACAAAAAATATTACTAAACAAATTCAAATTTAATTACTTTACATTTAGATAACACGCATTTGTTATCCAAGTTTCAATAATACAATAATATTAAGTGTATAATTTTTATCACATGGCGTTATAGATAGGCATATCTGGTATAAAAAGTTGGGTAATTATGAAACTACTCATTCCAATTTCAATTATGATGTATGCAAATTTAAAAAATCAACATTTTGCATATTATTATCTTCATTTTTTTTAAAAACCATTACTCTTAAGGGACGTCTTTCAACAGTTCAACACTTATCATTCATAATCGCACATTTTGCACCGTTTAATATCGCACAGATTTTTTCTGTTGTCAAAAAAGGAAATACAGAAGGTACATAATTAAAAACCACTCACATTTAATTGGCAGTTAAAAATACATAAAATATGTATCCATTATTGTTGTAAAAAAAAGTACAAATCATTAAATATCTACAGGTATGAGATTTTATAATCCTAATAATTCAAAATATATTCGGGTCTGGATTTAGGATTTGTAGGCCCCTAGGCTCAACTGTAGTGTGGGCTATACCAGAGGGTATTTTAAGAAATAGGATTAATGATCTGTAAATGGTTATGTTGTATTGTTGTGTATTTTATTTTTATAATTGTATGATTATTGTTTACACCTATTATAGTATTATTAGGATTATTAATATTTAATTTATTCTGTCCTCGCAACATTATTTGTTTTTTGTTTGTGCTGAACTTACGCTGAATGACGAAGAAAAAAGGTTTATATTTGTTTTTTTACATAATATAGAATATAAAGCTTTCGAATTGCTTACTATTATATTTTTAAGAGCATACTTAGGATCGACCCAGGTGATAGAACGGCTATAGAAACGCTAAAGTCTATGACTGCCAGTGATTTAACATTTCTTGTTGTTACCTTGAAGCATTTGTGTGGAAGTACGAGCTGCTGAACTGTCATCACATGATATTTTATGTGTACAAACTACAAAGTATGGTCTCATTTGCGGTACGTTATTTTATTACCTATAATATGCTGTTTATGTTAAGAATATATTTTATTCTATTTACGTTGTTGTTGTTCATTCGTTATATTATACTGCTGTTTGCTGTTATTTGTGTCTTTGTGAACTCATCAAACTATAATTATTTGATATCAAGCATTTATAATAATATAGGTAGGACAGGTAGGTATAGTAACTATAATAATTTCATGCTATCGGTTTCTTTTCTTCTCTGATATTTGTTTTTATTTTCGAATTAATGTTACATTTTTACGTTTACAAAATATTCCTATACCCAGTGCCGTACTTAAGATTTTCCTGCCCTGGGTGCACATTTTTTTAATGCCCCCTTTTCCCTTGGAGTTTTTATGGTGGCAATTTTTCTTACCGATAATAGTATTTTCAACACATGTAATATGGCAATAGTATAATTATGCAGTAAAAAAATCTACTGAGTGCCCCAGTGTTGAATATCATAGATATTCTCATTAGCACCCGTGCTAATAAAATAATCAAAGCAAATAGCTAAATGTATTATTTTTTTTATCTATTTATGAAATAGTGAATATATTAAAAGTTAATAACCCTTGAAAAAAACATCGATAAAAGCTACATAATGGTACCTATAAGGCCTTCTTGCATTAAAATCTTGGTTATAAATCTATATAAAAATTGTATAGAAAACGGCAAAATCATCTAATGGCAATAATTAAGAATTTAATAGAGTGTAATGTATTACTAGATATCTATACTGTTATGTTATGTTTGAGTTAAACCAAACAATCAAATTCGATTTTGTCCATAATTGGTCATTCAGAAAGTGTTTTCTTAATTTGTTTTTATTTTCCTAGTCGCCTATGAATACTTCTTGGAATTTGAAAATTGAAACATCGTTTTAATTATTTTTCTTGTATACCTACACACAAAAAAGATCATAACAAAATATGTCATTATTGTCAAATTATTATCTTCATCCGCGTTTAATATAAAGCACTCTTGTATACTTATAGTATACGACGTTACTAACTTCATAGCCCATGGGCCATAAGAAATGTCTAGTTTAGGACGTTTAGGTACAGAACAATAGATTAGGTGACTGCGTGCGTATATCAGATCTTGAGATTGTTTGCCTAAAATATAGATGTTAATAATTGTTAAGATATTTGTAAGACGTTTTGTTGACGTTGATTTGCCTAATTGCCTAAATCATTATTAACTTATTTTCGAAAAAAAAATTGCTGTTCAAAGCAATAATGCCAACCAGTGCCCCTTAAATACGCCACCTAATATCAGCGATGTGTACATAAAAGTATGAACTAATTGTGTTCAGAGAAAACAAGCCACCTTCTGTTATACAAAAAAAAAATAAAAGTTGTAGTTTCCATCCAAAATATTTTGGGTAGATATTGCGTGATACTGAAATAGGAAAAGTAAATAATTTATTCAAGTAAGCAGTGATACACATTTCCGAACAACTTTAAGGGAACAGTAAAACCAATTTATGTATTTTAAATTATTTCGAAACTTAAGTGCATACTGCATTCACCTGCAATTAACACACAGAACACAGAAGAAACAAATTATTCATTTTATAATATACATATATACTATATTTAAATATTTAATGTAATATTAAAAGTAATCGATCTTATAATATTACATATTTATCTCAATAACTAAGTTGTTACTAGTCTAATTAAAAAAAAGTTGAGGGTTCATGCTAATTATTTATAAGCAGTAGCGTAAAGGGGAGAGGACAACCCCCCCNCCCCCCCCCCCCCAGCCCAAAAAATATATATGTATATTGTATATTACGTATACCTGGTAAGTGGATGTCACTCAGCTGTACAGTAGGTCACGAGTGGGTCAGTGTAATAGATGGGGTTAAATTTGAATTCAGTGATATAAAATAGTTGTACACGAAAAATGATTCTGAGCGAACAGCTTAAGATTTTAGGTAGTTCAAATGAACCTTAAGTGCGTACTCCGTGCCACTGGCAAAGACGGTTTGTCATTGTCAGCCACTAATATTACTATGTATATTTGATGATGTTATTACAAATTCAATTTTCCGGGAAAGCTGTTGGAGCAGGAATTATGAAAACGTGGTCAGGAATTAGCAGGAATTGAGTACTAATTATTGGCGTAAAAAAAATTGCAAAAAGTTAAATTTGGAAGGTGGGTGTGGCTGGAGTAACATTACTCCAGCCCCATCCGTGAAAAATTTAATTTTCCGGAAAACTGTTGGAGGAGGAATTATGAAAACTTTTTCAGGAATTAGCAGGAATAGAGTACCTATTAATTATTGGCGCAAAAAAAATTTCGAAAGTCAAAAGAGGGGTGGGGGGGGGGGTAATGTACGTATATTATTGTGATTCAAGTAATTTATTTTATTATTAGGCATTAGTACGGCAGGTTAAATTCATTTTTACCAAAAAATTACGTATTTTGAAAAGGCATTGTACCTATGTATAAAATAACATAATATACTGTAAAGTTTCAAGTATCCAAGTGTAATATTTTTAAATTAAAACAAAATAACTAAAATCATTATTCTTGGTTATTTAATAAGACGTATTTTCGCCCAAATTTTTACATAAAACAATTTTTTTTAAAAATGGGCTTGTATATTTTTAGAATTTTTGGTTATAGAATAATCTACTCACGTGAGACCTTGTTTTAAATTTTTAATCATTATTATAGCTATAAAAGTTGAATATTTTATACATTTTTAACTAAAAAATAGTTTTAAATTTTAAGGTTAATAAGGACAATAAATGCCTATAAAAAAAATTGTCCCAATGTATTTTTAATATTTTTCAACTGCTGTTATAACAATAACAGGAACCCTGTATTAAATCAAGCTTTTTGACCCAACGAATATAATTGTATTAACATTTGCAGAAAAATCTAGAACAATTGAAAACTGAAAATGTCGGTATAAACAGCTCAGAGTATGAGTCAAGATATTTTGAAAATGTTTTCGAGAATAGGAAATTATAAAAAAAACATTTTGTGTAAATTTCATGAATTGGTTATTTATTTTAGAGTTACACAAAAAAATCAAAATCGATATTTCAAAAACCGAATTCACTTAAAAATTCCTAAATTTTTTTTTTGTTTTTCCCGTCTTTTTTGAGAACCGTTATGAATTTTAAATGTTGACATCCCAAATGCACTAATTTCTCTCCGGAAAAAATGACTGGAGTTAAGAAACGAAGCATTATTTCGACTATCTTGTACATAGATACAAAAATAAAAATAAAAACACATCAATACATTTATCGCTCCGCTCAGAATTTAAAAGGATAACTAAATATATACACATTTAAATTTTATATTATATTATAATACAATGTAGATGATGTTTATACAAATAGTGAAGTATAACAATAAATAAATAACAATTTTTTAATATTACCAACGCCTAATGAAATGTTAGAATTTATAAAATTGTTGGACCCTCTCAGAAAAAAATTAAAAATATGACACAGGTTTCTCATAACTAGTTATAACTGCAATTATAAATAATTAAAGGTACATATATACAAAATTTTTTTATATGTACTCAGAGCTCAAATTTTGACCAAACATTTTGTCAAATTCACTAAATTTTGCATAATTATTTCGTAGTTAAATATTTGTAAAATGTTAAATTTTTATAGTTAAGGATTATTAGTTCATATTGTAACCAAAAATCTAAAATTGTACCATTTTATTAAATTGTATTTAA